ACTTCCAAAGAGTCAAATACTATGCTGCCACTAAAATGGTGGTGTAAATATAATAGAGCAGCTATTAAAAGATACTTATGAAGGACTGGGGATTTAGCTCAGCGGTTCGGTGGCCTGCCTTGCAAGCACAAGGACCCGAGGTCAATCCCCGGTATCCCCCCAAAAAAGATACTTATGATACATGTTAACTGAAAAAAATCAGATGACAAATGTCACAATTTCATGTGTATTCAAAGGTCTCTTTTATACTTACCATTGTGGTTACATAGAAAAAATCTGAAGTGTTATTGTCAGTGATGGAATTATGGGTGGTATTTCTATTTTTTAGACAATTTTCAGAAAGCATGAGTGAGTTTAGGTTACTAACTTTGTGTGATTGGGCAGGTAACTCAGTCTCAGTTTCCATAGTTCATAAAATAGGATTAGGAGGATTAAGTGAGATAATCTACAGGAAGGATCACACATTATCCTGCACATGGTAAAAGCTCAAAGAGTCTCAGGCTTCAGTAAGTGGCTTTATAGCAGAGATGAAGAAACTTTTAGAAACCAAGTAACCATACTGCAACCCTAAATCCACCTATTCATCACACAGTGCCAACATTGCAATTAAATCTGAATACTGAGGCTTTAGTTCAGAAAAAAACTCTTTCCTTAACATCTTTTGTCTTAAAAGGTAAGGGCAATAGCAGAGCTTTCAACGATACAAACAGCTGATGCTGCTACTCCTTTCCAAGCATGTGCATGGCCCTTATGTACCCTGCTGTCTGAAACTTAGCTGCTAGGGCCACACTGGGGTGACTTGGCTCTTGTGCTGACAGAGAGGGCTCTTCATGCTCACTGTTGCACATGTGTCATAGATTCACCACCACTGCTTTACAGGATGTGCTTGCTAACTTATAATGGAGTAGAGCCTTGGGGAAAAAATAGATCTAGGACCACTTTCGGAAGCAATAGAATGGGACAAGACTTAGTTGGGACCTTGGGGTATTTCACAAGACCAAACCATCTCCTCTCCTTCCTTTTCTGCCCAGGCTCTTCTTCTTTGGAAAAATGGGGAAAAGTACCACTAGAGGCTCTAAAAGCTTCTGCATTCTCATTGACCATATTTAACAGCCTGCTTTTCTGTGTGCCTGCTCCTGTGCTGGGCAGGCCCCTGGCTCACCACCCAAAACCCACACAGCCACCTGCTACTATTTACTTACCAGGAAATGTTTACTTAGTGTCTGTTAGGGGCAGAACTGAGATTCACAGTGGGAAAACTAATGATTTCAGGGAAAAGGAAAATACAAGACTTGGGTAAGGATAAGTAGATTCTTTCAGAAGAAATTTCTAAATAATTAAAACAGCCTAATATAAATTTATTTTTTTAGCATGAAACTGAGAAAAACTAAAGTAGATTTGGTGTTTATTATTAAGCCTATAGATAAGAAATTATGCAAACTCAGAGGTGAAGAATCTTGGAAACATTTATCAAGGCCAGCACGGAGTTGCAGGGCGCACCATTTTGTAAGATGCAAACACATAAAGGCAAGCCCTACTATAACAGGCTTCAGTGTGGTATTTGAGGAAGTAAATTGGAGAAATGAAGCTGGGAAGGTGGGGAAGCTGAGTGGCTTCTGGCACACACGCCACGACCACACCATCGTGTCAGAGGAGTAGTGTTATTACACGGCCTTTTGGTTACAGATCAAAATTTAAAACTGCTGTCACTTTGTCACTGAAAAGCTCTGGCAACATGATTAAAACACTGTACTTCACCAGCCAAATTCTGTTCATTTAAATTGTTGAGTCTAGGTGGTGGTCAAGGACGTGCACCTTACTATTCATTTAGCTTACTAGTAAATTTAAACTTTTTATAACCAAAAGGTTTTTGTTGTTGTTGTTGTTGTTTGTTATTATGTTATTAAGGATCGTACCCAGAGCTCCATGCACAGTAGGCCAGCACTCTACACTGAGCTATATCCCCAGCCTGAGAACTTTGAAATAGATGCTGAGTGTTGGGTGTTGCTGTAAGTGCTCTTGTAACCCTAGTAGTGCAGAGGGTGTTACTGGCTTGCTTTTGGCCAGACTATGAACTTTGAGCAGCTTCCTAGGGGTGGTGATATATTCATTCGCTTACTAGATACACATTTACAGAAGAAAGCATTGTGTAGAGACAGAGAAATGACAGAATGCCTATCTTCATGGAGATTATAAACTCAGAGGTGAGATTCAACATACAAAGAAGTAACTATGGTACCAGATAATTAGGAATAAGAGAGGTATAGAACACTATAGGAGTGAGGATCTGTCCCAGCTCAACTCATTCATTTCACTACCTCTGTAGCAAAACTATGAGGGGCCTGGAGTGCAGATTGTGGCCATGGAATGAAATCAAATCAACTAGTCATTAAATTGACCTATGATCCATATATTAGAGACAAGATTCCCTAATCAGTGTTTCTATAAAATCTCCAAAGGCTATGCAAGATGCCACCAGAACAGCAGCAATCTGTGTAACTAGGGAAGGTGAGGGGGAGAGACATTATCTTATCACTCTTGCAGCTCCTCACAGCTTCAAACCCAACAAGAAGATATTAAAGTGAAATTTGTTGAAATAAATTGAGTTATTGCTTCTCGACCTTTTGGCTAAGATCAAGTGAAATAAATTGAGTTGATACTTTATCTTCTTGAATCAAGTTCATAAGCAAGTACCATAACGCATTGATATACAATACAAAGAAAAGAGGGAACAGTGATATACTGATATCCTTCTGAACACAGGCCATGGATAATCAGTCTAATGAGGGAGGAGTAGGAGTGACTCCTTTTCCTGCTCCCTTTAGAAGTTCTGTGGTGCTGAACAAGGTCATATCCCTCTAAGATAGCAGTTCTGAATCAGGGGGAAATTTTCCTACCAGTGAGTATTCGGCAGTATTTGCGAATACTTTTAGTCAACATAACTGGGAGAAAGGAGATGTGTTATTGGCATCCAGTGGGGGAGGCCAGGGATGCTGGTAATATTTACAATGCACAGGATAGTCCTCCAAAACAAAGAACTATCCAGCTCCAAATGTTAGTATGCTGCTGTGGAGAAACTTTGAGTTAGGTGGAATACGTATTAGTCAGCTCACAGACTAAAGGCTGTGCTCTTAAGGATCTTGAAAATGAATCCTTTGAACATTAGGGGATTTGAGCAAAAGAAGGTAGATGGTTCCTTACCAAACCTGCATTACAACTCTTTTTAAAAGTCCATACAGGACTGGGGATGCAGCTCAGTGATGGAGTACTTTTAGCATGTGCAAGACCCTGGGTTCCATCTTCAGTAAAATACACACACACACACACACACACACACACACACACACACACACAAGCAGAGACCATATAAATCATTTTTGGGAATAAAAAATAACACAATAATCAAGGAAAATCAAGGTGAAAAGGACTTTACTCTTTCTCTTCCTTTAGACCAGAGTTATTCTACAAAACATATGAGCTGCAAGCACCATTTTGAAATTCCCAGCTATGAAAAGAAAGTGAAAAAAAAAGCAGGTGAAATGAAGTTTAAGAATTGCTTTCAATTAATAAAATATATCCCCAAATGTCATCATTTTGACATATAATCAATGTAAAATTTATTAATATTTTACATTCTTTTTTCATACTAAATCATCAAAATATAGTATGTATTTTATAGTTAACAGCACCTTTATTTGAACTAGCCACATTCCAAGTTCTCAATAGCCACATATGCCTATGGCTACTGTATTGGCCAGCACAGATCTAGATCTGTGATTTTTAAAAAATCATCAAAGTTTCTCCTTAAAAATGAAACATCATGTCTGTAGTCCCAGATATTTGGGAGGCTAGGGCAGGATGGAGCACTTGAGCTCAAGAGTTTAAGACTAGTCTGGGCGACACAGTGAGATCCTATATCAACAAAAAAGAGGTGGAGAAGGAAAAAAGGAAGGAAGGAAAGGAGAGGAGAGTGGAAGGAAGGGAGTGAGGGAGGGAGCAAAAAAGAGAAGAAAATATAATATGAGAAATTTATCCCAATTCCGATTCAGCATGTCTAGAATAAGAGTCAGAAATACACATTTTTTAGTATTTGCCCAGATGATTCTCATGCAGTTGGTTTATGATTCTGTGTGCTGTAAAACATTGATCTATTCCAGACCATCAGCTTGCTTGAGAATGGTATGTGCCTCTGAGTCCCTCAGAGTCTAGCCTGAAACCATGTCATACAGGAATAGTTCTAAGAGATAAGAGGGGGTCATAACTTTAGCAGATGCAGGGAAGAGTTGGATTTTGCTTTTCAAAGGGGGCTAGAAAAGAGAATTCTTCCCGTAAGAGAATCTTCAATACAGTTGCCCAGATCCTCAAATTTTCTTCACCACTTCTGTTTGGGCTATTTCTGCATTTTTAAAAAAATTTAAATCAATACACCTATAGTGATGTATTCCTGTTTTTAAGGAGTTTTACTTCCTCAATAATCTGCAAGAATCCTCCAGAAGATAACACTGTATAGCCCAGTACTCTCAAATAGGAAGTAACAATATTGTGACTGAGAAAATGCCACACACCCACACTCCAACTAATATGAGTCTGTTTTTCATGCAGTAAGTCATATTCTCTGAAACACTGTAAGACTGTTACTATATCCTCACTTTGTGCTCTTTGTTTTCAATTTCAAAACAATATTTTATAAATTCATGGGGCTGGGGTGTAGCTCAGTGGTAGAGTACAACCTCTAGGTTCAGTTCTTAACACTGCAAAACCACCACCACCACCAACAAACCCAAATAAAACTACCTATCTATATAAATACAAAATAACTGAATTCACTAAGTTCAAAGCTCTCTTAGGGCCCGGGATGTAGCTCAGTGGTTCTGCTGCCTGCTTCACAAGCACAAGGTCCCGAGTTCAGTCCCCAGTACCAAACACAAAAACTGTCCTCAAAGGCAATAAGGAAGGATCATGCTAAGAATGTCAAGTCTTAGGACTCTTTGTTTTCTCACCTGTATCCATCTTCAAGGCCACTTTGTTCACAAGGAAATGATTTTCGAGAGAAGGTCCATGAACATCGGATTTCTGGGTATGCCTTAAACTTGACGGAAAAACAAAACTCTTCATATTGATCAATTTCATAATCTTCACTTGAATTGGTAGCATTTATAAATCCTTTTTCTGTAAAACAAAATGCATTTATCTATCAAATAATTGGATTCACATGGAAATGTTTTGAGATTAATATATATTTTTAAAATCAGTTCAACACAAGAAAGTTCAAATGTTTGGAGTGCTGTGGGTTAGGTTTGATAGTCTAGGAAGAAAAGGCTTCCTCAGTTCTAAGCCTGAGCTCATCATCCTAGGGAATCAAGTGATTCCTCTCTCTCTCTCTCTCTCTCTCTCTCTCTCTCTCTTCATACTGGAGATTAAACCCAGGGCTGCTGCTAAATTGCCAAATAGTTTAAGATTTACCTTCTTCATATATATATATGTATATATATGAAGAAGGTAAATATATATATATATACCTGCAGATGTCACAATTTCATATATATATATATATATATAAACCATATATATAAATAAACTGT